TATATATATATATTAGTATATTTAGTATAGACAGATTAAAAGTTAGTCGATCGTGTAACCACTTACAGAGCTATACTGTTTGATACGGCGGCGATAAATTAGCCGTAAGTTTAGAAATTTAGAGAAATTAAATTGGCTCTGTGCTTTGTTTATATAGCTTTTGTAATATGGAGCTGGAAAATTTAGATCTTTGGCAGCAGACAACTTTATGGTGATTATGTGATGAATCACCACTGCCGACTGGTTCTTGGTTTTCCCGTTTTTATGGGGAACTGACTCTTAACAAATTGGAGACAATAATAAGCCTGATTTAGTTGCAGCTGTTACTGTGGTACGCTTGAGAGTTACTCATTCTTCAAGTTCTTTATGAAACGGTTTCGCTGGGTATTCGGTGTTTTTGATTCTTCTAAGTTGCTGTTTCTTTTATTTTTAATGCAGTTACTGTTTATTTACGTTTCTATCTACGTTGAAATGACTAAGCTTTTACATGGCATAATTGTTGGTAAGACATGATTTTGATGCAATGGACGAAGAAAAGAGAACAACATGTAAGATCAAAGATATTTTTTAGAGATTTAGTCTTAAAAGATGTTGGAGCTGTTACTTACACTTTTTTACCTTTACTTTTTTCTTACGAGAAAGTCTTTTTCTAGTGATTAGAAATTTCTTTCTAAATGTCGTCTCGTATGCAAATGTCGTTCACAGCCGGTTACTATTGAAAAATTTTTCCCGATTTAATCTTTTAAATTTTTTGTCTTTTTCTTTTTTCAGATCCTTGAAATGCATTTGAATGGCTGGAGTTGGTTTCGAGGATGAGCTTTAAAACATTTCAGTCCTCCAGCTTTGCGCAGTATCTACAAGAATTAAAGAAAGCAAAAGCTGCAGGCTGTCAGGAAGTTGTTAGCAAAGAGGACGATTCAGTTGATGCACTCCAGAGTAGGCATTCTAATGCTTTTTTTTCAAAACCATTATGAAAAGATTAACATTCGAAAAAAAGTAGCTTTCATGAGCCGAATTGATAAACATTTTTGAATTTGGTATAAATGCAGTTGAAATATGTATAAAGTTTATTTCTACATTGCAAATTTCGTGCCACAAAATTTTTTTAAACAAAAAACCGCTTTATTATTTGGAAAATATGCTATTCATTTTAACGATTGCTTCTAATCTTCCAGAGATCCTTGAATTGTACCCGAACTTATGCACCAAGTACCGCGATGCGTCTTTACTTCTACAGTACCAGTTTTCCGCAGCCAAGTCTGTTTCATATAAACCAGCGAGAAGACAGAGTATTGCGCAAATGCCAACCTTCTATGCTAAATTAAGTTATTGTTTCTCACCCGTTGAGTTTGGTTTACAAGTTAGTTTTTCTGAACTTATTCCCGATTACTGAAACTTCCACTGAATACTTTTATTAGTGGGAAACAGGCGACACTTTCCATGTGCTCACCAAACCGTTCTACATTGGCCATTATCTTATCATTCAGCTCTGTTACTAAATATTTTTTACAGCCAAAAAAGTGGGACCGAGAGAGGGAGCACCTGTTTATTGAATTGAATGAATATTACAAAAGGAATGAATTAAGCAGGTTACCTGATTTGAAGGTCTGCATCGCCTTTTCCAGGCTTTATGAATTTTTTTAAAGGGAACAAATATCTCAAACTCATGTCTGGATCGGATTATTGCAGTTACTGGAAAACATGCCTTGCGCCGTAAAACTTAATAATTTCTGGTATCGAGGGCAGATTATTAAGTGGATTGGTTCCTCAGCACTGATAAGGTTTGTCGACTTCGGTTCCGAAAAACTTGTGGCATTTGAACTGATACAGCCACTTCTAAGTAAATTTGGCCGTTTTCCACCTTTCGCTCTTGGAAGCAAACTGGCAGGTAAAAAATATCCCTTCCTCAATGAAGATCATAAGGATGAACATGTCGTTTAGAAGGGCGAATTTTTAGATGTGGATGTCAACAAATTGACCGTTTCAAAAATTGAGGAGTTTAAAAGCATAATAGCGCACTGTAAAAACATTGTTCGAGTAGAAATAGTCAACTGTTCTGAATTTCCCATTCTGGTAAATCTATACCATCCTACTGTGCTCGGTTCCAACCTTGGATCAAACCTTTATTTTTCACCGGAAACGAGCTTTGCCAAAGAAAGGAAAGCACTTGAAGATGAAGATATAACTGAGGAGTTCGCTTTACTGGTAATTTTTTTTATTTATCAAATTCTTTGCAGTTATATAACCCATCAGCTATTTTACTACTTACTTATCTGCACAAAGAAATTTAAGAAATTCCCCTCAACCAGCTTTGTAAACCTACAGAGTACGAGTTGGTCTAAGTATGAACTACGGATCTCAAAAAACCTTGAACTTCAGCTGCTTCATGTGTATTTTAATGGACATTCACTCCTCATTTGAACGGAACCATAGAGTTCGAATTGTAATTCTATAGTCCAACGTAAACACTGTTTCCCGAACTTAAGAAAGACCATTAAGGATACAGATTTTGACGATGCCACCGACGGAGGTGCCGACACCGTAACAGAAGATTTATTTGTTCTGCACTGTAACAGGTTATCAAGAAACTTATAACTGATCCAGCTCATTGTTTGTCCTCCTTATCTACACTGTTACATACCTGCATTCATATCTTCTTCTAGATTGGCAAAAGTCCCTGCGACTTCGAAGATGTTTGTTTCCTACGTGGAAAATAGAAGATTCCTGTACTTCCATACGTCCGATCACTTGAAAACGATTACAACAGTTGAAGAGGAACTCTTTTCAAAAGTATCTTCCATATATTTTCTAAGACAATGTTGACGAATCGTAAACATTTTTAAGTCTCCAAATAAATGTATTTTACAAGCGGAAAATTGTCATTTTCAAGTGGGAGGAACTTTCGAAGTTGCCAGATCAGTATTTGGTCCCGTTTACTGCATGCGGCTTCAAAAAGGCTTTTAGTGGGCACCAGTCTGCATTCAGAGGTATAATAGACAGCGTTCATGACGGTAACGTAGTTGTTCGAGCCGCTGACCATGGATGGCTTACAGAAGTCGCGGCAGAGGATCTACGAGTCTTAAGTGTTCATTTTGCAAAACCTCCGCAGGTTTGTTCTAACATTCACGCCAAAATTTCTATTTTGCTCAGTTCCTTTAACATTTCAGATGTATTTGTGCTCGTTGAGGGGTTCTGACCTTCACCCACATCAGTCAGAAACCAACATTATTCGCGAACTACTACCTTCTGGAACTCTTGTCACCGTTGTTCGTAACGGGCGTTCAAAACATTCACATCTTTACGAGGTTACCGTGTACAGGTCTAACGGCGAAGAGATTATCAAGAAGCTTGAAACAATGTAATTCTTCCTTCTCCACGCGCTCGACCAACATACAATCATCAATTTTTCAGCAAAAAAGAAAACCATATTTTGCACCCATGTTATGCATTGATAACCTACGACAGCAAACTGATGAAACCTTCAAGAATCTCCACCGTTCAACAGTTTCGCTACGAAACCAACCCTTTTAAGCCATTCATTTCTGGAAAGCTCCGCCTTTTTAGTATCGCTGCTGAAAAAAGGTAGCTCTCCGGTCAAGAACTATTTTATTATTTTTTTTTGCGAGTTATCACGTTGTCTAAAACTTTCAATATTAGCCTTTCTACATAATTATATTTCTTCAAAAAAAAAAAATAAATAAATAAGCAAAAAGTACAGGGATTCTTGACATCATGAGCAGATGCAGTATTTCTTCTACCACATACCAATATGGAGGCGCACGATACAAAATAGCGTATGAGCCAAGAGTGTGGCGTAATAATGGGAAAATAATTTGCTAAACCTGAATTTAAGAACCAGATTAAAATGTATACGAATAAAAGAATACCAAACTAAAATAGCTTTTTACACCGGCATAATCTTAAGACTTCTGTATCTCAGCTCTTTCAGAAATTGTTACAGAGGTAACCAAACTGATAACGGTTCAAAAGTGAATAACACAACTCTCTTTAAAAAAAAAGCAAACAGCCGAAAAAAATCTTTATTTTTTACGACTGACTTCAAGGCTGGTTCTGATGGTCTGGGACAGAAGGCGATAAATTAGCTTGTTCCAGCATACGTTGCAGTTGAGCCTGCGGGTCGGATATCGGGCTACGTGGAGTGTTTGCCTTGAAAAAATTTCTATTGAATTCATGTCTTTATTAGTCGTACTAGAAAGGGAGGATATGTACTAAACAGTTGCAGGAAAAATTATCAAATATTCCCGCAGCGAACCTGATCCTTCGTCTTCAAAAGGTTATTGAAGAAGGTTAGAAGAGGCGAGTTCCCATCTGGAACATCTGTAACAGTTTTCTGCATAGAAGTCCTTTTTGGCAAAGGCACCTCAACATTTGATAATTTTTGTAGGAAATCTTCCTCCTCGTCCGCTTCCACTTTCTGTTCTTTTAGTGACTGGCCTTCATTTATCACCTGTAATTATGAACTAGTAAAACGCAGTGAATCCTCGAGACCAAACAGAAAGCAAGTCCTAATCAGATTATGGCGTCAAAAAAACAACAAAAAAAACTTTATTTTCCTCATGTCTTTCGGTTCTCAAAAATTAAATGAAAAACAAACAAGGTTCAGTTGGGAGAGCGAAATAATCAAATAAATACAAGTTCTTAACGTCTACCTCTAAAGACATTTCAACATCATGAATGCTTTCCTCAGAAATATCCAATTTTTTCAGTATTTTCAATAATATAAAAGAAAATTAATTCCTACACCAATTCTAAAACAAGTAAGCA